AATATCTAATAACTTAATTAAATAAGACAGAATTAAAATTTTATTTTGAAAAAATAATCTATTAATATTTATCTGATGAACCAATCTTTTTGCACTGGACCATATATATATATATATATAATTATAATTGCTCTAGGTATTATTATTCTGTAATAATAATAATGACCATAATGATCTTTTAGTAAGCGAACAAGAAATCTAGAAATATTTTTTTGTTGTCAATTCTATCCTATTTATTGATGTTCCGTATTTTAGAGAGTTCACGTTTGTCCAAAACTTTACTAATTTGTTCTGGGATAACTTTAGGAAAGATCGTTTTTATCGTGAAGGAAGAGTCTTTTAATTTGCTCTCGAGTGCTCCTTTCCCAATTTCCGACTTCAAAGCATCAAGATAGGCTAACATGGTTTTTGCTGCACAGGATTCCAACGTTTGATAGGTTCATCAGCTGTTTCATCAGCGCTATGGAGTAGCTGACCGGTGAAATCGGACACGTGTGGTACATATCGGAGTTCAAGGTCTTCTACATTCGGAAAGGCTCTCATTTATGAAACTTAGCATCGCTTCTGATAGGTATTGGGGAGGAAGTTCTTTCATGTGTTTAGATACCTCCTATTGGTAAGGTTCAACAGAATTTTAGTTAATAATTATTCTTAGTGGAAATAAAGATACACAATTTCCAAATTTCAAGCATACAAACCTCTACATCCAAGACCGTAGATGTTGATGAAGTATCCTTGATAAGAGCATCGGTAGATTTAATGGGGGTATTTCCTTGAGTTGATCTTGGTAATAGCTGCAATTTCCTTCGCTCTTGTGGAGGATTAAGAGTTGAAGATGATTCAACTAACTTTGCAGACTCGGTAGTGGTGGAAGCACCTTCTGTACTTTTCCTTCCTTCAATATTCTCGGTATGTGATGATAACACGTTATATACACTGGTGCTACTTGTGATGGCAAGAACTGAACTCGTTACCGAAGACTTGTTATCGCGATCTCGGCTATCTGTTTTCCAGCCTTTCGATCCCCCAGCAAGACCAGCGAATGACTCTTGTGAAGCTAAGCTTAGACCAGACACTTTACTTCGTGAAACAGCGCCAAATTTGGACAAATCACCAGTTTTTCTTGATGCCGACACTTTACTTCGTGAAACAGAGCCAAATTTGGACAAATCACCAGTTTTTCTTGATGCTGACACTTCACTTCGTGAAACAGAGCCAAATTTGGACAAATCACCAGTTTTTCTTGATGCTAATGAAGAGCTTCCAATTGTGCCCCAACCATCTGCGTTAGCTGGAACATTTCCTCCGTGTGTTCCTTTGTCACGTGTATCCCGTCGCCCTGAGCCAAGTCGAGATAATTGTTGGTCGAGTCTCGGTAAACCTATAATTTAGAGTATTTTAATAGAAGTTTAACGAAAATTTCTCAAGGAAAAATGTAGACCAACATAAGAAAATGACATTTACCCCTTCTAGCTGTCCGCCGTAAGAATTCAGCCTCCTCTTTCTGTTTAGCAGCCTATTCAAAATTGTGACTTTAGTAAACTTCTAAAGAAAAACACGTACAAAAAATTATTGAGATAAATTATAATACACACATCTCCATGGATCTCTGCAATTGTCTTTGGTGCATCATTATTACGTCTTGGAACCCAATTGTTATTTCTGAGTTCAATGACATCCAGTAATATGAACTTTATTCTATTGCTCAAATTAGGATTATTGCTCATAGTTTTCATCCTATTGAAATAGACGTCCATGTGTACCTTAGCCCTTCGATGATCAAGTTGCTTACCAACAGTAGTAAGCAATTTACAAAGACTTTCCGTCTCTTCCTCTTCTGGATTTAAGGCGTTACAGAGCAGTTTCTTTATACACTCGTGCATGATCCTTTCGGTGAGCATAGTGAGCTTGAAGAGTTCGCCAAGGAATTTGATTAGGCCGAGACCTGTACGTTTAGTTTCCTGAGCGTCGTAACACTCATCGGATAAAAGATCGGGCTCTCCTTTTTCATTGCTAGGTACTGGTATATTTAATTTCCAACCCTTTTCGAAGTCCTCTTGGCAACGATTTAGTAAATATTTTCTATTTGTTTAAAAAATTAATATTCAAGAAAACATGGTTAGAAAATAATTCAATTATATGTACGAGTTTTTCCAAGTTTTCAATTTAAAAAACGCAATCGAAATTGTACTAATAAATACCTAAACAATGTTCCACCTTGTACATATTGATTACCATGTGGACTCTTTACATTCTCATCCAAGATTTCCGGATCAATTCGTTCCATCATCTTCTTACAAAGCCGCGCATACAACTGGCTGAAATTAGACTCATCATATGCTTTGAGTAAAATGAGTTGGATGACTGTTCTTAAAGTCCGACCATCCTTTTCGTTGCGAGATTTGTTGGCATAATCAATAATTTGATCAGAAATGCTGTCAAAGTTCTCCGATGTCAATTTATTTAATAAAGCTAATGAAGCTTTGACGTTATGGATTGTATCCGAAGATTCAACTTCAAAAGAGATTGTTTTTCCGGTGAGTGTTTTCACGAAAATTTGCATGGTGAAATATTACTTATATATAATGATAAAGTGGCGTTTGTCGCTGTTGTTAGTACTTTCCGGAACTATTACCGTCGGTTGTATTATATTGTCTGCGTTTCTGGTTGAAATTGGCTGCCCTCGCGTAATTGAACGATATAGCTATAGGTTTCGTTGTTATTTTTATTAGAATGGTGGCATACTATCCGGTGAAGTTGCTGTAAAGTAGTCGTGTCGTCCTGCTGAGCTAATTGCGGGCACCAAAAAGTTGTCACCGGATTTACGTCGCTACTTATGGTGGTATTAGAAAATCGGCGCAGTGCCAGAGACACAAATAACCAAGAGAATTATTATTGAATAGTCTGAGGGATTATTGCTTTTATTAAACCCTACTAAAGTGAATTACAAGATTATTGCTTTTATTAAACACTAAGGTGAAATTACCATGACTTGTCTTCTATTCTACTCTACATATTTCCTTATTCTAGACCATAGTATGTATATGGAATGGCAATGGTCGGATCATGTGAATAGAACATTTTCGCTTTTTTTGATACTGGTTACGTCACGCGTAAACATATATATATATATACGTGTGTTTTACAAGCGCAAAAAGCACAACATGGAACAAAATTCACAAAAAAGTAGTCTTTTCCCCTGGGAGCGCGCAAATATACCGTCTTTCGCGTCATTAAAAAGAAATCAAACAAAATCTTTTGGTTGTATATATGCCTTCGATAGATTTACTCCTGTTACTACTGATGCTGTTGATGGTCAACAAAAGGTTATATTATAGATTAAAGAATTAATGACTTTTTTTTTTGAAATAACCTTGTATTTTTATAATAAAAGGATATATGCCTGGAGGTCTCACGAACTGTTACAGGTTATCTTTATTTTCTTATTTAATATATGACTTTCATCGAAAATTAAACAGCAATCTTTATTTATTTAGTTGACCCGAAAGGAAACTTGTTTATTCCTGACAAAACTTATACGGATCAATATTCCCTCTGCGATAATCAAATATCATTATCGTCTAATGATAATGAATTGCAACACAATAACTTAGAAGCAGCAAGAAAATCATCAAATGCTATGATAATAAAGTCTTTGAATCTTGAGAAGTCCTGGCCATCAGCACCAATGTCCGCAATTAAAACGACAAAAACGCGTAGGAATGATAGTAAAACACCCTTATCAACATCCAATTCAAAAAATTCTAATTCAAAAGAGAGTATTAAGCAGAGTGAACTTAATAGGGTCAATAGATTGATGAGGAAACAAATCAGGTGAGTTAAATCATACAGTTTTAGTTTTAAATTCTTAAATCAAAAATATTTCATTTATTTTTTTATCGTTGAATATAGTGATAAACTTCCTAACACTAATATTACGCCTACAACACCAAAATTATCGAAATCTTTTGACACGCCATTAAAGCAACAACTTCGCGAAGACATTTCATGGAGTAAATATTTAACACCGATACGTCCTCCCGCTACAACTTCAACTAATGAAAAAAACGACGATACTATTAATAATGAGAATTTATTGATTTCAAGTATATCTGATTTTTCTGATTAAAATCTGTAATATGCATTAAAAATTAAAACGAAAACTTTATTTTATTTATTTTTACAATTCACCATGAAAAAAAACCAGCGCCCAAAAGAAACGTTAAAAGTTGTTTCTCGATGAATATTGATGATAATTGTAAAGGTGTAATGACACCACTTCAGACCCATCAAATTCCCAACTTCGGCTCATCTAATGCTGACGCAAATGTGTTTATTTTAGATTTTGTTCGATTAACTCTTAGTTGCATTGGATATTAAATTTTTGATTTTTGAGTTTATAGACGCGTACGACACCTCAAGACAAGAATTTCAAGGATATTGAAAGACAATACGAAGAGCTCGTTAAAGAAAAGGTATTTACTAGTAATATTAGAATTACAGATCGCAAATTTAAATTTTATCTATCATACAAAAATCACATACAGGCAAATTTCGAACACTACAAAAACACAGAACTCTCAGAAATCAAAAAGAAAAAAGAACAAGAATTACAAATCATAGAAGCTGAGAAGAAAAAGTGGACTAAAACGCGGGCAGAACTGGAGTTGGCACCCTCGCAAAGGTGGGCGGGGATAGTAATAATAATCTCTTAATTTTTCAAGCAATGGGAATTGTTATGCATTCTTGTTGATTGATGAATTAAGCAGATTTATTAATATTAGTAATCTTTATCGTAGACATATTCAAGAAGTGGACAATCTCCAAAAACAAATATGTAATTTACAGTATACTCTACGCCATCGAGAAAATATTCATCGGATTGAGTTGGAAAGACTAAAGCGACGAATCAGTGAGTTGTCACGGCAGAATCAAGAACTTTTAAAGAATCAGAAGGTGAATGAATGCTCCGATAAAGATGAGCAAATCAATCCACCAAAGTCTAATTGAGGCACTTGATGTGTAGGGTGGAAGTGTCTTATCACTAGAATCTCCATCAAAATCCAAAGAAAATTATCATAGTTTTCATAATAACAATCAAGGGAGTATTAACAATAGTTGCGAATATGCAGAAATCGATAGATCTTCAATAACATGTAAAACTGTAAAATTCAATCTACCACCAAATCCTGGATGTGAGAAATTGGATAAGCTTGCCAAGCAAATTGAAAATATTGGAACATGCGTCGAGGTTATTTTTTTTAAATTCTCAAAGTCAATCTTTTAATATCCGTTCATGAATCTGATTGATTCGCATTTAGGAGATTATAAAAAATGACGAAGGGAAAATAGAACGTGTTTACTCGAATGGAACACGTTTGATATTATTTTCAAATGATATTACAAAAGAAATCAGGAATGATGGTATTGTTATAGTTCGTTTTACGAATGGGAATATAAAAGAGGTACCGTTCACGGTCATTATAATTCGATAATAAATTTGATAGCAAAATCCATTAAAAAAAAATAATAATTAAATATCTCAGATTATCCCACATCAAAAAGTCACCTATTTCTACACGGACGGAACAGTACACACAATTTTCGCAGATGGAGAAGAAGTCGTCGAATATTCTAATGGACAGATTGAACGCACACACGTTGACGGCACAGCGGAAATTTATTTCCCTGATAATGTCGTGCAATATATACTTTCTAATGGCGAGGTATGTCGATTTGTTGTTTGGAATTTTGAAAATAATTAATATTCAACCGTGAGATTTTTCTGGATTTCAAATAAAAGGCAGAAACAGTGCTACCAGGTCGACAAGCTATCATCTGAAATTGATATGAATATACAAATACAATACCATTGAGATAAGCAAATAATAACCAACAGAATCAGAATTTCAACACCGATAAATGACACAACGTACTCGAATCCGAGATACTCAAAATGGCTGTTTCTGTGAAATGCACGGTGGGTATGTTGACTGTGTACTCGTCTATATATTTTCGCCAAAGTACATCTATTCTTGATAAATATCTTTTTTTTGATGAGGATTTTAGAATTTAATTTATTAAAAGAATTATTGCTTTTTTGCCATTATATATAAATCTATGTATTCCAAACTTTAGTGCGGGCAAGCATTAACGATTTGTAGCCACTCTGATTTTTCAAATGGATTCTACTTGCATGCTCAACTGATTTGTTACTTGTTCGAAATTTTGAAAAAAAATTGGTTATTCCACCGCTAGTAATTTAAAGAGAATGGTATTTGCTAAGATACATTGCACTGAAATGCCATGCATTTAGAGAATTTATAGTGCGTGCATTGGTTTGAAATAATTAATTACACAAAAACATTAAGCCAATCTCCACTTTGACTTCCTTTCGAGATTCTTGATTAGCAAGATAAAATCCATATATATATATGTCAGCAAGTATTGCAACCAAACTCTATTTTGTTAGATCTACCTTTAAACTATATTTAACAAGGATCTTTTGTTAAAAGTTGATAGAGACTCCCGTTATTATTTCCAAGTCGGGTGGTGTACGATTTATAGTTTTCAATTTGTGATAGGTCAAATAGATGTCGCATTGATGGTCTACCATGTGGGCAGTTCTATTTTGTCATGTATATAGAAAAGATCAAATTTTAAACTTGAAGAGGATATAAAACAGATAGGTCACTTTACCCAAGGTTGGTCGATTTCACCCATATGTTTCACAATCTATTTGTTAATTACAATAGAAATGGGTGGTTTGAGTTTACGGAAAATCACAGAATGTAAGATATGAAACAGAATAGAACCTTTTGCATTTGCCGTCTAGTCAGCGCGTCACCAATCATGACAGCCTTTCGACAAGCTCGTGAGGCAAACATGTTTCTCACATGCGAGCATCGTACCATCACTCCCGGTCTCTCGGACAATAAAAATATCAATTCTTCTAAATCTTTTTATATCACGGAAAAATTAATAGATTAAATACTTATTGAATCTCACGTATAGCGACATATTTTACCTTGTACTCCAAAAACGGTATTTTTACTAACCGGCTGTGATATAAGTTTCAGTTTGTGTGTCACCGGAGCCTCTTCGTGTACCTCAATATCAAATCCATTTTTTCGCAATATCTCAATATTCTCGATTGCCATAATTTCTTCGCTTGCTGAAAGTTGTAAAGCCCTCGGACTCAAAACAAAAAAAAATTTATAATTATTATCATTCCAAGGATTAATCTTTTACTAGAAAAAAAAAGATATTAAAAAAACCTAATCAGCCTTTGAGAATGAATCTTTGTATAAAGTTGCAACGTTTCAAAATGGTACTTTTCATCTGACGCGTGCTGATCAATAATAAATAAATCGCCACCGCCATTCGCGGAGTTATCCAATTTCGTAATAATAAATCCTAAATTGAATTGTCCTATTATTCGCATACGAAAGAAATCGGTTTTGGAGATTACTCTGCTAAGTTCACGCTCTGCCGTTTCGTTATCAGGGACGTCGAGTCCGGCTTTATCTAAACGTGGTTTAGGATGTTCAGGTCGCTGCTTTAAAGAACGCTTTACTTTCCCTCGTTTGAATCGGTTGATATCGAAATCAACATTGATTGTTTCGTCAGAATCTACAATTAGTTTATTATAATCATCTGTTTTACAATCTGTTGAAAGAATATTCTCGGATATATTGGCGAGAGAGTTTGTTTCATCAAGGTTTCTTGATTCTTCATTTTGATACGATGCATTTTTCAGAGGTGGAGACAATGAGTCTTCAAAAGGTGATTCAGAATTCTCTATCTTTGTATCAGAAATAATAGGAACAGAGTCATCATCATCATCGACGTCTTGTTTAGCGTCATCTACATTTTCATTGTTTATAACATGCCTTGTGCTTTCTTTCGGAGCAGGTATTTCTAATGACTCTTCTGTAATCTTTTTATTAAATGAACTTTTTTCTCTTAGTTGACCTATACGCTCGGAAGAAGGTAATATACACTTATTAGATTTTTCTACTCTACTGTCTAATATTGGTACAGAATTGTTCTTGGAAATATTATATACAACTGAAGTCTTTTCTGAGGGATTGAACTTTGTGGGAGACAATATAGTCGTACCGCAATCTTTATTATCGTCAACTTGAATTAATATTGATGCGGATTTCTCGGACGATGAGGAGATGTCCGAATTATTAAATTCAGATTCTTGCTCTTGGTAAATTAATGGTGACAATGACTTTACATCCGGTTCACTCAATGACTGATTATTAGAGCCCAACTTATCAATAAGATACTGATTTTCTTTGCTTGCAAGCTCACCGGCTTCTAAATTTGAAACTACATATGTGGACTGGAATGGCTGAAACAGAAGATTCAGTTCTATCTGTAAAAAAAATCATCCATAAAAAATATAATGGTTGTTAAATAGTATCATAGTTTAAATAAAAATAATATTGTGCTTATTCTCAACCTTTAATGCCTCGAGGATTTGCGCTTCATTATGTAAGAATATCGTCCTTTTGTCAGGACTAACATTCACATCATAAGCGTCTAATTGGAAAGAAGAAACAGCACAGTAGTAACCATATTACACTCAAAAAAATGTGTACAAGCGACTTCATTTATGGTTAATGAAAAAACAAACCTTTAGGAAGCATGAAATTCGCAACAAGAAATGGATATTGATTGGTGTTAAATGTCTTGTATACCTCATTAAAGATTTTAGCAATCTATAATATCGAAGTCAATCGATTAGTAAAAAAACGATTTTTTCAGATATAACTCAAAAAACGAGATATAGGTAATTTGTTATTGCTAGCCTTTGAAAGATTACATGGCCGACCATTTATATAAAAGTATTGTCGATCAGTACTTGTACGACCATTACCGATTGATGGCTTTGAGATGTGTCCAGTAACATGAATTTTTCGTGTATTTTCACTATTTGTGCAATAATCATTATATTATCATTATAACCTCATCAATTAAAACGGAGTTATACGTCCATGTATTCTAACCTTTCTTTTTCAGTGACTTGACTTTTTAGAGATGATAGGGAAGTTCTCGCTGGTTTCACTTGAAGAAAAAGTTCAAAAGGCATTATCTGCAGCATAATTTTCGCGCCGAATAAATTCGCAATGTTTTCACGGATGGTCTTGTTTCCATGTGTAGCAATTACTTTGGTTCTTTCACTATTTTTATAATTAATATTTCAAATATATGATACAACCATTGAAGATAAGTGGTTGATATAATTTATAAGCTAATACCTTTTCCCTACTTGATTTGTGCACATTATTCGCACATCACTGCAAATAATTGCATAAGCTTGCACCAAGTTTAAGGCTTTCATGAATTCACGTCGCGCATTCTTTTTGAATTCGCGAAATCGTACTGGCAGATTTTCAAATAACTTTTTTACCGTGACTGTTGTTCCAACCTTTCAAAAAAAAATAAAAATAAATAAACTGATGAGGTAACTGCTGTCTACACGAAATTTCTCATTTGCCATATTAACTTGAAACTGACTATTAAATACGCGTACCTACCTCACGCGCAGCCAACGTCTGCTTGACCAAACGCCCATCAGAATCGTATTCTAGCCGTCGCCCTGATGATAATTGGTGTTTTGTACGCGTGACAACTACGAGTTTCGAAAGAGCACAGAGCGAACTGAGTGCTTCGCCACGAAACCCAAATGATTCGAGTTCGACAATGTCTTCAAAGTTTTGGAGTTTTGAGGTGTAATGTTTTAACGCTACAAAAGTTTTTTTACGCGTCTTAATTGATGCTGCACAGAAACCATTTTTTTTTTCTTTTATTATCAATAAAGAGGATACTTGCCAAGTGTCTCGTAATTTTCTGGGTCTATTCCAAAACCATTATCAATCACTTCTAGCAATTCCAACCCGTTTTCCTTGAAGCGTATTTCTTTTACATTATATACATGAAAGAATCAGCACAACGCGTCAATATAACGCGAATATCAAAAATTACATTAGTACGAACAAATACCAATTGAGGTAGCCTGAGCATCGAGACTATTTTCAACAAGCTCTTTAACAGCGGTTGACAAATCCAACACGACTTGTCCCGAGCATATACGGTGCACAGAAGACTTGTCAATTGCTTTAATAAAGGTGCTTGCCATTGAATTTTTGTGCAAAAATATTATTAATATTATTATAATATTATTATGGTAGAATTAGTGACGTAACGTGAATCATATTAATATTCTATATCTATTTGAGGCTAGTATTTATCCTATCTATGTCTATCTATAGTATGATGTCATGATGCATATACGATCAACGGGGTTGGTCGAAAGTCAGCTAACGGTCCATGTGACAATGTGATGAATGATATGTGATGCGTCATATTTCTCTTTCTCTTACACTGCTTTGCTGTAGATAGATAATAGCAATACTCACCTCTTGTCCATCCTTAATTAAAAATATAAAGATAAATAATATAGAACCATTTTTTTTCACATCAACAATAAAACTTGACTTCACTTTGTACATATTCAAGCATCTTCAATAATAATAATAATAATAATAATAATAATAATAATAATAATACTACTACTACTACTACTAACTAGACCTAGACCAAGAATAAGTAATAGTACTAATAATGTCTTCACCGCGTAGAAGGATCGAGACTGATGTCATGAAACTGTAAGTTTGAAATGTGGCGCCGCTTGTTTCGGGTTTAAAATTTTACCTGGACGTGCTCATTTCGAAGAAAGAGCATGTTTCCCTACTCATTCAGATAATTATTGACAATATATATTACTTGGACATTATTCTTTTTTAGACTCATGAGTGATTACGAAGTCACTTTGGTAAATGACAACATGCAGGAATTCTATGTTCGTTTCCATGGGCCAGAAGACAGTACGTTGTTATTTAACTATACGTATAATGCATACTTTTCTCGACGATTCGTTAATATGATTTGAAATTCTTAGCTCCGTTTGCCGGTGGTGTTTGGAAAGTTCACGTCGAACTTCCCGATCAATATCCATACAAGTCACCCTCGATTGGATTCATGAATAAGATTTTTCATCCAAATATTGATGAATTGTATTGTATTATTATTATTGGAATTGATCTATTTTTAATTTATTAATTACTAATTATTTTTCCTGATTTTCCTATTACTTTAGGAGTGGTTCCGTTTGCCTTGATGTGATCAATCAAACTTGGAGTCCAATGTTTGGTTGGTAATTTGTAAAAAGTTTAATTTGTTTTCATCAAAATCATTAACAAATCACCTTTTTTATCAATATATAATATAAAGATATGATCAACATTTTTGAAGTGTTTCTCCCTCAACTCTTGCGATATCCAAATCCGACTGACCCTTTGAATGGAGAAGCTGCAGCTTTGTTGATGCGAGAGCCTCAGAATTATGAAAATAAAGTAAAAGGTATTTAAACGATATATTTTATTTGCAAGATCATATAAATTTTTTCTAAATATGTTATTAATCTATAATTTAATTAATTTAAGAATATGTAAACAAGTTCGCAACAAAAGAAGCAGCAGACGCCGCAACAGACGAAAGCTCATCAGAGGAGGAAGTTAGTTCGGTAGACTCTTATTCAGATGATGACGAAACACCTGACATGGATCTATGATCTAAACTTGAGTTATAATTGTTGCTATTATAAATTATTATTATTATTATTATTATTGCTGCTAATGTATTATCCTTGGGAGAGTCTGTATGAGAGTTTATTCTTATTATTGTTGTTTTGTTAATTATCATCATCATTTTCTACTGCTACTTTCTATCGTTCCGTTGGCGCTTTCTCCTTATGGAAAATTTGTAAGTGCTTAATTTTTATTTCTAATTTTTTTTTTTGCTGTATTTTTTATATTTTTTTTCTTGTAATTATTTTCTCTTTTTTCTCATTTATTATTAGAAATGAGTAATTTACAATTCTTGAGATGATGTTTATGCAATTGTTTGTTCTATTTTAAATGCTGATGGCGGTGATGAAATAGCACTCATTATTTTCTTTTCGATGTCTTCTGTAGAAATTATCCGCTACACCTTTTCACGAAAAATTCGTATCACCTATTCAAAAGTTTTATTGATAATCTTTTTATAGTAAAAAAAAAAAACATCATCATTGACAACTACAACAATACCAATAATGATACGATAGATAATAAAATGATAATTTGTGATCTTCATTTTTCTTTGATAGGCATTAGCATTCCATTGCTCTAGCGACTTATAATTGATGTTCAAATTACAATAGTCTTGAATAACAAATGTTGATTCAGGTTTTTTTATTCAAACTACTTTGATACTAATTTTATTATTTATATAATACTGAAAAAAGGTAACCAGACAATTACTGAATTTACTAATGAAACATAGTAGCCAATTTTCTTCTAATAAATATTTTTTTTATTTTCGTGTTATAACCTATATATATTTTTTATATTTAATAAACCAATCAAATCGTAAGATCAATATGTAACGAAAAAAATTCAAGTTTATTTTTGAAAAATAGCTTGTTCTTGAAATTGTATTCACCTTAACCGAAATGCTTAACAACCGGAAAACTCAAAATTGGATAACTATAAAAAGATCGCTTTTATATATACAACTTAAATAATATTAGAATATCTTAAATTATGGGTTGATGCAAAAAGATTTGTACCTCAGATAAACATTAATAGATTATTTTTTCAAAATAAAATTTTAATTCTGTCTTATTTAATTAATTTATTAGGTATTGGGATTTATTTAAATGTAAAAATTTTTATTATATATTCTTTTATAAAAAAAATTTTTACTAATAATAACTTTTTTCAATTATTATTTCTTAAATTTTACTATATAAAATTTGATTAAAATTAATATAAATATTATATAGTAAATAATTTAATTACTCAATTTTGAATTTTAATATTGTTATCTTTTTGGTATAAGTATTAACTAAAGGATAAGTATGATTCTTAAACTATCAAAAACATATATTTTTGTTAAGAATTATAATATAGAAGGATTCTTTATAATGTAATAACAAGAATATATTTTTCTATTAGAAGTTATCAAAGATAATTTCTAAAGATAGTATTCTTTAGTGTGATTAGCTAGATATAATAATCAGTTTATTAATAAAATAAAATAATAAATCTTAATCAAATTTTATTTTACAAGAGATATTTCTTAGAATTTTCTTTAAGTATAATTTACTTAAAAATATGAATTGAAAATTAAACTTATAAAATTCAAACTAAGTTAATAAATTAATTAACTGAATAACTAACTAACTTATTAACTTAACTATCCTTTTTCACTAGTTAAGATACATCACTTTTATATATTGTTACCATTTTAAGATTATGCATATGTAATTATTTTAAAATGGTAATAGTGACTGTATTCACAACAATTATTTATTTTTATAGCTTCAAGAAATTATATGACTGATTATCTTTTTAATAAGATAATGTATGTGAGATTTACTTCTGATAAAAATATGATTATCTTCTCAATAAGATAATTTATATGTATTTTACTTATAATAAAAATATAATTATCTTCTCAATAAGATAATATACGTGAATTTATTTTTAATAAAATATCTCTTAATAGAGCAAGAAGAAAATAAGATAAGATATAAGATAAAATATATGTGTTTATTAAAGAAAAATACTAATT